CCATTAAGGTTGCATTACTCAGCTTTAGCTTGTTTGATGTTGGGATAGTTTCATTTGCTGCTGGAAACTTGCTCGTTAGCTGAGGTGTGGTTGTTTCTAAAGGAATGTGAGGAATGAGCATCTCTTCTATTTATTTCACTTTTTTTTCCTTTTTTGCCCCATTTTTGAGGCACGTGCTACTATTCAGAGAAAGATTCAGATGATCTCCATGATGAAAGAGTGGAAATTGTTGGGATCTCTTCTGTTACCCAGCTGTGAGATGCTTTATCTCACCAGTCTCTAGCAATGTAGACTTTTAAAACAAGTGTGCTTTGTCTGGGAGGGTGCAGGAGAGTCAGTGGGAAGCAAGTCTGAGTGATGACTTTTATAAGATTTGCAATGTATTAAGATTGCCTTGGTCCGACTAAGAAACTGTTTCCCCAACACCTTCCCTCTCTTCCTCTGTCCTCTGGGTGACCATGGCTGTAAGACCTTGGTTGATTAGGGGTCCCAGATGTATTCTGGTGCACTGCTTTGAACTGATCCAGCATGAGGTGTCTGTGCTAGAGTAGACCTGTAATCAAAATTTTCAGGAGATTTTCTTACTTCCAGATCTTGCATGATACCGCCTGTTAAGGCATGATATCCAAAATGTATGATGGTAAATAGTACGTTCCTTAAATATTCATTCTTTTCAAGTACTGACTAGAACTTTCTGATTGGTTTATTTCTTTTCTTGTGTTTTCTTTATCGCTTTTGAATCGCAGTTATTTAAAGATAAACTGGAACAATAATCTTTCTTCATTATCTATGATGTATATAGGCAAAAAACTCCTGCCCACCTTCCTCCTATTTCACCCAGTAGTGACTTCACACTCTTTTTTATAGTAGCCAACAAAGAACTTAAGGAAAAAATTAGTGGGTGCTGCATTTTGCAAAACCTTGTTTAGGGTTTACACCAAAAAAATGTTGTCTCTGCTTATATTGCTTGTTGTTGTTCTTTTAAAACAGAAAAAAGCAAACAGCCTCCTAATGTATCTGTTTTCATTCCAGCTGCACATGTGTAGGAAGAGGTGCCTGTGGTGAAATTTGACCGTTTGGTGGCAGAAAGCTTTTGCTGTGCTGGATTGCAAAGTGTACTTCTAATATATCTTCAAAAGGAAATGCATTCTCAATCTACAGTCAGCCTTGACTATGAAGGACAGAAAAGAAAAAAAAAAAAGTTTTTTTTCAGTTAGGGATGAAAATTTTAGATTTATAACTTCATGCAAGATTGCCAGGGCCCGAGGCAAAAAAAAAAACCAACAAAAACCCAGAGCATGTATCTAGTTTACAACTACAAAAATAATTACATGATGACTATCTGTGGAGTAATCTCTAATGGATTACATTTTGTTAGCATTTCATTATGTAGTGTTAGAGCCAAAATAATTCATAGTAAATGGGGAAAAAAATACTTGTTTTGATGTATCTGTGGCCTGGAGCTTTGATGTCCTCCTAGGACGTTCTATTAAGAAATGGTTAATTTGTGAAAGGTCTTGGTTTGCAGACAAGGTACTATGCTTGTAAAGCTATTATAGGACTAAGGAGTGTAGGAATTACAGAAGTAATTTGTTTTTATTATGCAAGCACTGGACTTCTTTGTTGCTTCAGAGGTGCTAAAGCCATCTGAGGTGCTTTCCTCTTAGATTTATGGTGTCTCTCAGACTTAAAAAGCAGTTATGGCTCATTAAGATCACTTGATTTAATTTTTTTAAAACTTAAGGGTGCTTCTTTTTATATGTCTCTTAGATTTTATCCAAGTGATACAATCTTCAGCAGTAATAAGAGGCTTCTTACTCATGGTCAAAACACCCCTTTTATTGTGTTGCAATAGAACTGTGGCTTAGCAAATAAACTCTTCTGCACTTTCATGTACTGTTGGCAGAGGGAACTGGATGTAAGGGGTCTTTTTTTCGGAACTTAGGGCAACTTCTGTTTCTTCTTCTTTAATATTCTTTAGTTTGGAGAACTGGAAGGGGAAAAAAAAAAAAAGAAGTATTATTATGACCAATGGTTCTAAGCCAGATCAAGTCTCTACAGTATTAAAGTAAATAGAAAAACATTTTTGACTTCAGTAGAAGCAGTGTCAACTTAGCCACTTATGCTACGTGATTTACTGTGTCTGGGTGGCTTGAGGGTTGCTTGGGAACACAAGAAATTACATCTGGTCATTAATGCCATATTCAGTATCAATGGAATAAGGATATATAAAGTTCTCAGTGTATGTGAGTGGTGTTTTAATGCTTCCATAACTAAAAATAATTTGAAGCATCCAATTTTGATTTATCAATATAAAGGGCAATATAGTAAGGAAGCTGTAAGAGAATGTGGGTTTAAGTTAATAAAGTCTTCTTGAAAGCAGAAGGGGATAGTTAAAGGATTGGTCTTTTCTGAATAACTAAAAGTGACATCATTCTCCTCTTTGTGAACATATTCTTTCCTCTAGATGTAACATAAATTGATGTTATAGCTGAAAATATTTTCAGTTTTCCCCAAGTTCTTATTAGGAAAATATCCATGAGTTCTGCTTTTAAGAGAGAGAAATTCTTTGCCCTTAGATGGAGCATGCTTTCTCAGGCTTTTCTGTGGGAAGCAGTAGGTGCATTTTTATTTGTTATTTCTTGGATTGTTTTTTCTTTTAATAAACTGTCTACACTAGATCTGTTCAAGATACCTTGTCTGTCCAAGAGAACATGTTCATCCAGTAGCATCTCATTATTGTAGACTAGATGACTTCCAGAAGTCCCTTTCAACCTAAAATATCCTCTAATTTCTTCATTTGTCCTATCATTCTGATTTATTAGCTTGTGTAATTTAAGTGATCCAGACATTTCACCCTTTTTTATCCTTTTTCAGTGCATTAGTATCTCCTGATTCCAGGGCATCCAGAATTTCAGTCAATGAACTGAAATAATTTAAAATGTCAATGCTTTAGTATGGAAAGAGATTGGTAAATTCTGGTGATGTCTGGTGAGATCTCTACTATATTTAAGTCTTGCTGGTACAGAGATGTTCTTCATTACTTCCAGAAATTGTATCTTTTTCCTGTAATAGCAGCAAAATGCTTTTTATTTATTGCTTTTGATTCCTGTCTACACTTCTGTATCAATGTGGAACTTTCCCTGTTGTGCATTACATTATAGTGAGACAGGCTGGAGACACAGGCCCATGACTGTAGCTACTGAAAGGTGGGGGATAGAATGTAAGGAATGTGTCCTGGAGAGGAAAAAAATCAAAGACAGTCCTACTGATTCTTGACAGGGCTAGTTGCCAGTAGTCCTCCGAAACAAATAACTACAAATACTTTTTTTTCTCCCCTCCTTCATTTTGGATGAGATAGCGTTGCAGGAAGCAGGTGTGGGGAAAATGCATAACCTCTGGCCCAAAGTAGGTGACCCATTTGCCTGCTGACCATTTTAAAAGGTCTTAACAGCACGAAAGATCTTACAGACAGGAATGTTTTGGTGGTAGTGCTGTACCTGCCAGTCCCTGAGCACAACCACATTCCTTAACAGCTGGCAGTAAATCACACCTCAGTTGGGAGCAGCACTAACAACCAAACCTCTGCTCAGTAGTGGATGTCCATATATCTGTGGTCCATGGCTTGGGGGATATATTTTTTTGCTGCAGATTCTTGGCACTATTTACTGTTGACACAAGTTCGTTGCAGGTAGCAAGAATGACATACAGCTTTCTAAAAATCCTGAGATTGTAATGTGCTTTCCCATTGCCTTATCCTTTTTCAGCGTGTGTGGAGCAGCAGCAGCAGAGAGAACGAGAATGTTATATTTGTTATCATCTTAGTTATTTTTAGATTAAACCTAATGCCCCTTACTTAGGGATGCCATTATTCTGTTGAACTGTGTCCCTGTGTAGTGGTCTGCTGGGCACAGTCTCTCCTCTCCCAAAAAGAAATATAACCACACAGCTATTGATAAAATTCACAGTGGGTGACTGGAGGAAACTAGAGTTTCCTAGGCCTGGGCTTGGTGAAATGTTGAGAAAGAACAAAATCTAGTAATATAGCAAAAATAAAAACCTATGTAAAGGTGGCAAAATTGACTTCTTCCAATTAAAGGATGTGGTCCTGGCTTAGGCTAAGTGATGGCTCCTGGAGACTAGTAAAGATTGTTAATATTTCTATTTGAAAAGGACACAAGCCAGATTGCAAAGATGAGTTTGGCTGAGGCTGGACAAGTGTTTAGTGTCTTGTAGTGTCATCAGAGAACTGGGAGTTTTGGTTAGTGTATTCATTTTTGCCATAAATTCAGGGATGGGGGCAGTTCATAAGGCCAGCGGCCAATCTTTAACCATCAACCTTTGAGTTATTTGGCAGGCTGACCTTGTATCTCAGGAAAAAAAAAAAGGGACATAAAGCAATCTCTTCAATGCTTATCCCCAAGTCACCTGAGCAGAAGAAATGGTGCCATCTTCAACCGTGAGAGGAATCATAGAATGATTTGGGTTCGAAGGGATCTTAAAGATCATCCAGTTCCAACCCCCCTGCCGTGAGCAGGGACACCTTCCACTAGCCCAGGTTGTTCAGAGCCCCATCCAACCTGGCTTTGAACACTGCCACAGACGGGGCATCCACAGCCTCTCAGGGCAACTTGTTCCAGTGCCTCACCATCCTCCCAGTAATTAATTTCTTCCTAATACTGAACCTGCCCTCTTTCAGTTCAAACTATTACCCCTTTTTCTATCACTACATGCTCCTGTAAAAAGCCCCTCTGCAGCTTTCTCGTAGACCTCTGTCACTTGGCTTGTATGTTGGAGGTTAAGTAAGAGTTATGTACATGGTTTTTCTGTGTTACTGTGTGGAAGTACCAGAGACCATCTACAGATGCCAAATGATGTTCATTAGCTGATGTGTTCATTAATATAAAGTGCAATGACAACAGGCAGCATTAAAGGCCAAAACAAAACACTTTTGTGTTCTGTTGGTGTAATTTTTTGCTTCGTTTTCTTTATTCTTTCAGTTCTACGGGATGACTTCAGACAAAATCCCTCCGATGTAATGGTAGCTGTGGGTGAACCTGCAGTGATGGAGTGTCAGCCCCCAAGAGGTCACCCAGAACCGACTATATCGTGGAAGAAAGATGGGACCCCTCTAGATGACAAAGATGAGAGAATCACAGTAAGTATAAAAAGTTCTGCAAACAACACAAAAATCAACTGATCTGAAATCACTCAGCTCCTGAGCACATGGGCATCCAGCTGAGCTGTGCTTGACAGGATGTGTTCTTTTCTTGCCTCACAGGCAAGGGCTAGTTTGCATTTAGCTTGGAAATGTATCCTCTCATCCTACTTCATTGCAGGGTATGCATTCGTTTGTTAAAGAGGCCCATGCAAAACCTCTGTTCTTCTCTTCCTCAGAGGAATTAGAAGCTTGTGGAAATGAAATTCATTATATTGGTCACTGTCCTGTAATTTCCTTACCTTTCATCCACCTACAAATTTCTGCAACCTGTAATATCTGCCTTCTCGGGTTGGAAAGAGAAACAAGGAGTAGTCTCAGTGAGACCTTCTTTTGCAATGCCTTTGAAAATAATACATGCAGGAAAGCTGAGTGTTGTATTAGAAAGGCTGAAAAGGGGCTGGGGGTACAGACACATTTCTTTAGAGAGATGGTGGCTTATCCTGCCATCTCAAATTAAGCTGTTTTCTAATTAGTGGTGTTGTCGTACTCATTTGTATCTGTATCTTGCTGAATGCAATGCACAATTAGTCAAGATAAAGCAGCATCTCAAATCAGAAAACTATCCATTTTTTAGTCTTTGACATGGGAAACAATAAGCTAATGAACCTAAATGTCTGTCAGAAGTGGCAGCAAAAAAGGGGAGTTCAATACTCATTTATATGCTGCCAACGTGGTGATACAAAACATCTTCCCATATGGTGAGAAACTATCCTCTGAAAGCACACACATCTAGGATCCTGTTGGTACTGGAAGGTTTACAAGTGCAAAACAAGATCAGAGGCACATACCATTTATATGTCTCAATTATATACTGAAAGGAGGGAAATGTTTATTGGAAGTACACTTAAACCCCAGCAACCTGAGCAAAAAAAATTACCATTTTTGTTTGAGATTTGAATTTCCTGTTATTCCATTTGTGTGGGTTTTTTTGCAAACAAGACAAAGCTCAGGCGTTCTGCAGTTGTGGCATATGCATACATTTAAATTTTTAAGTACCCTACCAAACCTATACTGATTGCTGGCTATTAACTCAATTCTTCCCATCATACTTGCTAAGAACTTGCAATTTCCTTTTCAAATCTCCTTTCCACCGTGACAAGTCAATTGACCTGAGATAAAGAGAAGATTCTAGTGCTACCTTTTTTTTTTTTTTTTCCCCCAGGAAGTGCTTTCTAACCCTGCATTTTCTATTGCTGTAGTTTATTCTCCTGAAGGATTTTCAGGTGTTTCTTATGAAGTACATTTCTTTTGTTATACATGAAAACTGCTCTTCCAGCTGCTGGAACAAAGACATACCCAGAACAAAAGTAGCTATCAGTGACTGGCAGTGCCACCTGTACTCTTCAAAAACCGTTCTTAGGATGAAATAAAGCCCCTCAGTTCGGTTTTCTTTTCTGGTGATTGTATCAAACACTCACCTACATAGTATTCTTTCACCGTGACATCTGGGAAAGTTATCCTGTGTCACCAGTTTCTCCCGCTGTAAAAAAAAAAAAAAAAAAGAAAAAAAGAAATGAAAAAGAGTTTTGATGCAGGTGTAGATATACACTTGTTTCATGTAGCCAGGTGAGTGTTTTCAGAGGTGTAAATTAGCAGTGGTGCCATAGCTCAGCTCAGCTCAGTTGCATCCATTTATTTCCTATCTGCCTGGCATTGTCTCAGGCAGCACTATTAATATCGTGGGTGCTTTCTCACACAGGCGAGAGACTGAAGCCACGTTGTAATGCAGATTTGCATCCTCTTACAGCTGTAGCAGGATCTTGCCAAGTGGATAAATGTACATTCAGATTTACCTCTTTACAGCTTTGCAGTAACCTTCTGTGTTATCTTGCTAGTGCCTGGGAGGGTACAGGAGGTTGGGAGCTTGGAATGGACGACTTTTCTAAAGGGCAGATGGGAAAAAAAATATTAATTTTGAAACCTGACTTAGAATTATTTCCATTTCTGTTCACTTGTCTCCTTTAAGGCATTTCTGTTTCACTTTAGCAATAGGAACATAAAAGACTAAAAGGTACAAAAGCTGAAATGAGGATGAATTGCTGAGGTTGAAGTGAAAGATTTCATTTTTTCATGAAATGAACCTTTTATTATTTTTTTTTTCATTGAAGTGTCTGTATTTAAAATGAACACCTACATTCACTTGATGGTAAAATTTTAATTGACTCGGTGGCTGTAAATTTCCATAATACAATTTACTTTTGTTACTTTCCTCTTTTTGAGCCATAAAATTACCAGATCAGTAAATGTGCAACTCTATGTGTTGGTATTCCATATGTATGTAATACCAGTGGGCATATCATCAATGAAAAAACTTGGATGGTTCCACTTCTAAAGCATTTCCAGTTGTTTTAATTCTTAAAGGCCTGGTGATCTTTGACTCACCCCAATTTTGAGAGTTCTCTGTCAAAGGCTGTTTGAAGCATTTTGTATTACTGCTTTCCTTTCTAACAAGAGATTTAAAATGAACATTAAGGTTTTACCTTTTTTTTTTAATAAGGAATGATGCTTGGGATCTCTTTTTTGATCCATATGTATGCTTTCTTCAAGAAGATATGTCTATGGAGCAATCTTTTTTTAATATATGGAAGCTTTTTTCTCATCTGCAATGACACTTGGTCTGTGAGTCAGCGGAACTGGACTTCACAGACTGAGTATTAAGGGGGCTAGAGAAACTGAGGTGGAAGCTTGGTTCCTGGCAGAGGGTTTAAAGCAAAATATGTGGATAAATAGCAGATAAATAAGATACAAGTTAAGGCACAACTTCCTCAGGAATGCAATAAAAAGAAAATAGTATTTTGTCCTGGGTAGGGTTGAGGAAATCGATATGTTTATATAGGTGAGATAATAAAAAAATCAAAGTAGTCCTTGCCTGGTTTTGGTCCATTTGTAGGGCAAATAAATGTGCTTTGAGGAGAAATAAATGTGCATGTCTTTCAGGTTATAAACCAGTGAATGGAACAAATAAGAAGTGAGAGTTAGGGTATGGGCACAGCTATCTGTGATGGGGATTATAGAAACAGACCTTTTATTTAAGCACAGCTCTCCCAGCAGTGCCCAGTGTTAGCACAAGTGAGACTCAGTGTAGGCTCCTTAGTGCACACACGTCTGCTCTGTGCATCTGATGAAGAATTATCATCGAAAAGATTTTCTCTCAGCTCTTGAATGTGTTGTCTGTAAACAGTTTTCTCAGTGCACTGGACCTAAACATGATTATTCTCATGTGTGCTCTTTACACCACGGTATGAGAGCATGTGCTTGATGTGGCTAATCCCTCTCCATGTATTACAAACCGAGCGGGAATGACGGTCTTGCCCGTGAAGCAAATGCTTACCTTTCACTTAATTTATTGAATTGAAAAACAGTTATCAGGAGGACAGAGCAGAACTAGTGTGATTCTGTGCTCATCTAGGTAATTTTTCTCCTGGGATTACTGCCAAATCAAGAATCCCTCCTGTAATATATAGAACTGAAAAAGACTTCCTTATTGCAGTCCAGTGAAGAGCTCTAATTTCTCTCTCTGGGCAATGTAAAGCTCAAATGTATTTTTTAAATTTCTGAAGTGATCCATCTGCACTAGGAGAGGCTGTTTGATTCTCCTCTTGGAGCTGGGATGTGGTGGAGAAAGGAGATGCAAGGTTAGGCCTGTGAGTGAGAGAGAAGGTTGCTCACCAGGGTGGGGAAGTTCCTGGTTCCGTTTCCAGCCCCTCATGGTGTTGACACATTTGGCATCTCTGAAGGTCATAGACCTACTCATTGCTTGGAGTGAGGATCTAGGCCAGGGCTCCAGGCTTCTGGCTATCCTCACCTGGAACAGCTCTGCTCCCAGCCCCGTCAGTCTAGCCATCCTTTTTGCATGGCAGCGCAGTGTCATTAGGGCGTAGCCACATGTGTCACCCTGGTGCCAAAAGCTGTGAGTTTGCATTGCCTCGGGCTGAGGAGGAATTGCAATCAGTGCAGTTTCTGCTGACTGCTGTAATCACTAGGTTTGGTCTTCCCACATGTATCGCGTCTGGATGCAGTTGTGAGTACAATGACTTGCTCGGGCACTCACGGTAATCACAGTGAATATTGGCTGCTTGTAAGCCTGTGAATCCACTGTGCCTTCGTTCACTTCTCACCCATCTTCCTGCTGTACTCCAGAAACCTCCCACTGCTTCTCAAATGGTGTTCCCACTGCCTTCCTACCACACAACACTGCCATTAAGTTTTGACCTCATTCCCCATCCATTTCCTCCACCTCACAATGAGTTCTTGCATCCATCCAGCCTGTCTGGCTCTATCATCTGATTAGTGGTATCAGCTTGTGTGGAGGTACCAATTTGGAAGCTCGGATGAGCAAACTCTCCTGTGGTGTGCAGGGATGTAAAGGCATTCCCCGTCTGGCTCTGCTGTGGATGCAAATGTGTGCTGTGATCTGTGAGGGATGTGGCAGTGCCTGTCTGCGTTAGGCTTGCTCAGAGCCTCCCCGAAGGAGCTGCTCTGTCTTTGTGAATCCCAAATACTTGTATGGAAGGCGCTGACATCAGTAATCTAACCAGGATGTTGGGGGGCCTTTGAGCATATCTTTAGGCAAAAACTGGCAGTAATTACAGGCTCTCAGGAGCGCAGAGCGTTCAGAGAGGATTTTGCAGATCTCCCATCTAGACAGGGCAACCTCCATGTGCTTTTGGATTTGTCTCTCAATTTGTCTCGTATTTTAGAGGCAATGCCTGCATAATTGACTAAGCCTCAGTAAAATCAGGATGCAGTCAGAGTGCCTGTAATTATCAATACTTTCCCAGGGGAGAATGTATACACATCCTGCATAAGCTCCAGAGCAGACTGATGTTTGAGCCAGGTTTGGAGGTCAGAGTTTCACGGCTGCATCTGCCCCTGCCCCATGATCACTGGTAGCCCATGCTTCAGAAAGCTTCCTAATTGTTCACTTCAAGTCGTGG